GTTCAGATAGAGTGGGTGGGAGGGAGGGGGAGAGAGAGAGAGAGACAGAGAGAGAGAGAGAGAGAGAGAGAGAGAGAGAGACATCTACATGAAAGGGTCACATGGAGTGGCCACCACCTGCACAAACTAACCAGGGCCGGGGACAAACTGCAACCGAGATACATGCCCCTAGCGGAAACCGAACCCGGATCTCCTCAGATTGCAGGACAACACTTTAACCACTGAGCCAAACCGGCCAGTGCTCTCTGTGCTTCTTGAACTTAAATGCATTATTCTTTCACCAAATTAGGGAAGTTTTCTGTCACTATTTCTTCAAATATATTCTCTAACCCTTGCTCAGTTTCTTCTTATTCGGGAACTCCTATGATGCGAATATTATTACGTTTCCAGTTGTCCCATAGTTCTCTTAAGCTGTCTTCCTGTCTTTTAATTGTTTTTTCCTTTTGGTTTTCTCATTGGTTGAGTTTTTTCTACCCTGTCTTCTAATTCACTGATCCGGTCCTCAGCTTCCTCTACTCTGCTGTTTATCCACAGTGTTCTTTATTGCTGATATGTCATTCCTCATTTCTTCTTGGTGGCTTTTAATTTCCAGTTGGTTGATTTTCAACATTTCTATGTCTTTACTCATGGTGTTGATGTCCTTACTCATGCTGTTGAGCTTCCTCAAGATCACAGCTCTGAATTCTAGCTGTTAACTTGCTTAACTGCTCCTCATTTGTCTCATCTTTGGTAGAGATCTGTTGTTCTTTCATTTGGCACTTGTTTCTTTGTTTCACCATTTTGGCTATCTCAGTGGGCTTTGGGGCCTGCCAAATTTTCCCTGTGGGAGTTGGAATTCTGCTATTTGTGGCTCCCTCTCCTGGGTTGGATGAGTGTGAGAGGACCCATGTTAAACACCACTGTCAAGTCTTACTTTCCTAGGCTGAGTTGCAAGCCCACGAATGGTTCAGTTATCCTCTAGCTTTTTGCCTAGAAGCTATTAGTCATGGTTTCTTGAAGAGCCTTTGGTTCTCAGTTGAATGAAAAACTCCCTCTGGTGTTCAGTGTAAAGGGATTTCCTGAGGGTGGAGCAGATGCTGGTTGTTAATGAGCCTCAATTTGCATTTCAATGGCCCACAGGGTGGTGTTGAATCTCTGCCTCGCCCCAGAGCCCTGGGAAGGAGTAAGATGGCCACCATTCTGCGTGGCTGCAATTCAGCAAAAGCTCTGAGCGCCCTCCAAATCCCAAGTGTCCCCACACAGTTCTAGTCCAGTTGCCCTCCCTCTGCCAGAGCCCAAGGTGAGTGGCTGTGGCTATTTAGCGTCTGTCCCGGCTCTGCACTGTGGAGCCGCCTGGGAGTGTAACCCCGAGGACACTGCTCACAGCTAAGACCACTGCTGTCTGTGGGCTCCCAGGCCCCCTCTCATGCCTCCGCAATCCTACCAAGATCGAGTCAGTGTCCCTGGTTATATGTTCCTCACAAGCTGCTTTTCTGTTGCTTTTTCCCGATGATTTGTCTTTATTTTAGTTGTAATTCCAGTTTGGTCCTGGGAGATGGTCTGTGTAGCTTCCATTCACTCTGCTGCCATTTTGGAATCTCAGGTAGACAAGTTTCTCTGCTCTGATTTTTTGGGTAAAATTTTTTTTCTAATTTACTCTTTCTCTGAGGGTAAAACTCTTTGTGGTTTTTAGAGAGTCTCCAATCTAACTCCCATTTGAGTCCAAAGCTTTGTTCCTGGACCATGTCACCTTAAAACTAGAATCTAGGCCACCTGGAATTAGCAAATGCTCCCACGGCCCCTGGTGCCCTCAATATTTACTTACCTCCCTGAATGTATGCTCATTTTGTCAAAGGATTTCCTTTTCCAAGCTCAGGCATATGTGTTTCTTTTCTCTGTGTGTGTGTGTGTGTGTGTGTGTTTTATATATGGTTTTATTATTGATTTTAGAGAGAGAAGGGAGAAGGAGAAAGAAACATCATGTGAGAGGGTCATATGGATTGGTTGCCTCCTGCAGGTCCCCAACTGGGGACTGAGTCCACAATCCAGGTATATGTCCTAACCAGGGAATACATCCAGTGACCAGCCTGGGCTCAGATGTGTTTTAAAGGGTGTTCTTGTTTAATCTTCTTAGGTGTGTCATAGCAAAATAATTTCTAAAATTTAGTCTGTCATATTGCCAAAAATATGTCTATAAATTCTGTGTCTTCCTGGATATTTCACAAATACAAAACTTTGATAGTGACCTATCCCTCTACCACCATATCTAATTTTCCTTCAAAAATTAATGACACTACTTCCCATCCACCTACTTATGACAAAATACAATCGAGCACACTTACCCTCCTCTTTTGATCTTTCACACCCCAGTGTAATTCTTACTGACTCTAAGTTCTAAATATCTCTCGAATTGTTCTCTTCATTCTGGCTACTACTGCCTTCAAAATTCATCATTTCTTTTCTCGATCACTGAAATAGTATCCATTTCCATGCTTATCTCCTTCAAATCCATATTTCACACAGCTCCCAGCATAACCTATTGAAAATACATATCTGACCATGTCATTTACATAATTAATAATCTTCAGTGACTTCTCATTGCCATCAAAATAGTCTCAATTGCTTTTCCTGGCATATAAGGTCCTCTACAATCAATCCCTCTCTGTGCTGCACTCATTCCAAATTATCTGCAATCTTCTGCTTGACCTAGCATCCTGCAGTCAGCCTCACACCTCACCCCCCAGCTTCCTTTCAGCAGCCAGGTTGACTCTTCTCTTCCAGGAAACTTGCAAATTCTTCCTGCACCCTTTGTAACATCACTGCTTGATGTCCTTAACTATTATTATACTTACCACACTGAACTACAATCATTTACCTGTTGTTCCAATTAGACTATAAATTCCTTTTAAGGGCAGAGAAATTCTTATTACCATCCATATAACTGGCACAGTGCCAATTACATGTGGTACTCAGTAATGACTGTTTTTTACTTCCAGCATCCTTTATGAAATTCAATCCTACCTCCCACTGCCACTATCAAAGTTTGAGCCCAGCCCTGGCCAGTTTGGCTCATCAGAGCATCAGCCTGCGAACCAAAGGGTCTGGGATTCGCGGTCAAGGGCACATACCTGGGTTGCAGGTTTGATCCTCAGCCCTTCAAAATTATGGGGGAGGCAATCAAATGATGTTTCTCTCTCACTCTCTCTTTCCATCCCTTCCACTCCATGTAAAAAACAATGGGAAAACGTCCTCGAGTGAGGATTAACCAAAAAATGTTCAAGCCCTTCTTCTTTCTACCTCTATCCTCTTACAAGTCTTCTGCCTCTACTTTATCAACCTTTCTAATGTCAACTAAATTCTTCCTGAAGCACAATTCTGACCATGCCCTACTGCACCTCAGAAACCTATTGCTGTTAGCTCCTGCTCATTCTCCCTGCTGCTCTAGCAGCTCACAGCCACCCACTGTTTTTCCCAAGTGACAGCTCATATCTATCTTAATTACAAAACCAACCACAAGGGACACGCAGTACTCATCCAGCTTCTACTTTAATTTCTCAGCCACCATCTAATGAAGTTTATTAGCAACAGAAACTTTTCCAAATCCAAAGTAGGACCTGACGGTGCTGGTGATAGCTATAGACTTCCCGTATTATCCAGTCACAGCCTTCCTCATTTTGACTGCATGGAAAACTCCATTTTACAGTAGTGGTGCGCCAAGGGTGCTGTGAGGAGGGAACGACACTAAGGGGGATCACTGTTTAGAGAATTTTAAACAGTAATAAAATTGACTAAAGGTCAGTCTGCTTTTTATCACCAACTCAAAACAGCAATTCTAAACGTCAGTAATAAAATACTCCTTCTTGCCAGGGAGGCCTGAGCCAGCACCAACACTTCAGGCGTCATTCTCTCCTGAAACCTTTAACCCACCCAAAACAGAATTACACATTGCCCTCCTCTTTCTAAGCCCTTAATACACATCTAAATCTACAAGGCCATAGTATGTTAAGGGGAGCTTATCTTTTTTTTTTTTTTTATCCTCACCCGAGGACACTCTTCCATTTTTTGTTCAGATAAAGTGGGAGGGAGAGAGAGGAAGAAAGAGAAACATCGACGTAAAAGGGACACATCGAGTGGCTGCCATCCACATGACCAACCAGGGCCAGGGATAAACTGCAACTGAGGCACGCACCCCTAGCAGGAACCGAACCCGGGTCTCTCCGGACCACAGGTCAACACTCTAATTGCTGAGCCAAACTGGCCAGGGCAGGGGGAACTTATCTTTAATCAGTATGGACATTCATGAACACACCTACCCTTCTGGCCAGCTTCCAATAGTTTGCCTCAGCTGCCCAGTAAGGTACTCAGTGAATGAAATGTGCCAAATGCCAGTTCCTCTATGTCACTAGGAGAAACTAACCATCATGCCTTACACTCACCCTACAGACCAGAATAACTGTATACAAAATATAATTTGGCCCTGGCAGGTTTGGCTCAGTGGTTAGAGCGTTGGCCTGCGGTCCATAGAGACCCAGGTTCGGTTTGTCCCTGGCCCTGGTTGGGTCGTGCGGGTGGCAACCACTCAATGTGTCCCTTTCACATCGATGTTTCTCTCTCTCTCCCTCCTGTTCTATCTGAACAAAAAGTGGAAAAATGTCCTCGGGTGAGGATAAAAAAATATATATATATAATTTTATATATATAAAATTTTAATTCCAAAGGCTGGCATTCACAAAACACCATAATCTATACCTAATTCTAATTCCTTCTAATATTCCAACCAACCACTTCTCACACCAACCTACTTATACCCAGTATATTTTTGCCTATTACATGTAAGTCTTTTTGTGTTACAGACCTTGTTTCTGGTTTACCTAACTGCTAAGCCCCAGAAAAACATTTAAACACTGAATCCTGTTTTAGTGCTATAGATGCAAAGGACACTCAATTCTATTAAATAAAACTAGGGATAGTTAACACATAGAAGAGCAGACTACATTTTTATTATACTGATTTTATTTTTAAAAAACTTTATTTTCATAGAATATACTTCACATTAGAGAGTCTCATAATGGGAAAATAACAATACTTAAAGTTTTATATTTGTGCACATTATTTCAGGACAAGAACAATGAACACATCTGAGGATTAAGTCTCAGTTTAGAAAGTGTAATATTTTGATACATCTACCAGGGGACTTCTTCCCTGCATGGAACTTGTCTATATTCAGAAGTTCTCAAGGCTCTTTTTCTCAGAACTAAGAAATTAGTTATGTGAAATATCAGCATTTCCTAACTTTAAAGTTTCCCAAAGACATCTATCCTTTAGTGGCTGGTATCAACTGAACAAAGGGGGTGTTTTCAAACATTAAGTACTGCCTAAATTTCTATAGTCTTTCCTGATGAATTAATAGTTTTTCCCTTTCTTCATTATCCCCAGGGCAAATACAGAAGTTTGATCAGGTATTGATAGTAATAAAGCTGAATTCCCTTTAAGAGTTTGATAAATTAAAATGTAAAAGCTCATACATAATGTTCAGTCACATTGTGAGTCTTGTGAGAAGCTGGAAGATCTCATTCACTCATTAGGATGTGAAACTCAGTCTCACAGTTTCTTGTATACAATTCCTCTCAAACCTTTTCCTCAGTTAAATTCTAAAACTAACCAGGTGATCAGAAGAGGTTTATCTCACCAATGGACTTATCTGTTATTTTCCTCCTTATTGTGAGATGAATGGCATGACAGAGCAGAGGCAAAGAGGTGTACAATCAATTTGCAAGGTATTAAGTAAAAAAGGTCAGAGCTTCCACAGCATGGCAACAGCTTTGCAGATGCCCACATCATGGTAGTTGAAATAACAAAGCCCAGCAAAGGTGAAAGCCGAGAGTGCCAAGAGGCCTGCCTTGGCAGCTTTCTGCACTGCATCCTTATGAACATAGTCAGTAACAACTTGTCCAAGGCCCCTAAGGAGAAAAATCACAGCACATGAGAAATTACAAATGACCTTGGAAGACTATACAGATAACTTGGCTATAAGTTAATCAGATTCAAAATGCAGCAAGTCATAAACCAAAGTAAAGGAATCACGCATTTCCTAATATAATACAGAAATCTTTCCAGTCTTCAGATTCAATTTTCCAGAGTTATTTATATCAAAGAAGATAATTGCTACTCTATCTACAAAATCTTGGATTTTTTGTAAAACTAAAATAATGTCCTATAGATTTTTTCATTAATTAAAAAAAAGTATTAAATAGACATTATATGCCAGAACCTGCTACAGGTGTTGGGAGTAGGCCAGATAAGACAGCACCCTGCCCATACGGAACATTCACTCTAGTGAAGGAGAAAGTAAGAGTACATGTATGCTAAGTAATATTATAGAAAGGATGACCTGAATGAGAAGAACAATCCAAGCAAAAGTGACAATGGCCTTGGGATCTCTGAAGAATAGCAAAAGGTTAATATGGCTGGAGAATATGGAGAGCAGAAGGGGGGACAGATCACACAGGGCCTTGAAGGTCATGAAAAGGAGTTTAAATTTATATGAAATATAATGAGAAACCACAGATGTGCTTTAAGTAGGGAATGACCTAAGTAGGGAGTGACATAATTTTACTTATTTATTTAAATTTTAGAGGATGTTTATTAAAGCTGAGGATAATGAAACAAGGAAGGGCTGGGGGAATGAGCCTAGGCTGGGCTGCTTTGGCTCACTAAGTCAGAGAAAAGGGGGCCATGGGAGAGGTTCAGGGGGTTTGCCCAGGACGAACTGCCACTGCCCACTGCTTCCCTTGTTGCAAGCCTCATGGGGTCAATTAGAGTATGGAAGATGCATGCCTATGAAGAAAGAAGGGGAGGAGAGGCACAGGGGTGCTCCTGGGAGGCAGTGTGTGCTTAATTTTACTTCTTTTTTTCCTGTATTGATTTTAGAGAAGAAGGGAGAGAGAGAAATATGGAAATATCGATGAGAGAATATCGATTGGCTGCCTCCTGCATGCCCCCCACTGGAGGTCTGGCCCACAACCTGGGCATGTGCCCTGACTGGGAATTGACTGGCGACCTCTTAGTGCATGGGTCAGTGCTCAACCAGCAAGCAATACCAGCTGGGCTAATTTTACTTTTTTAAATAACAGTTTTATTGGGATAAAATTCATATACCATAAGATTAACCAGTTTTCTTTTTCTTTCTTTCTTTCTTTTTTTTATCCTCACCTGAGGACATTTTTCCATTTTTTGTTCAGATAGAATGGGAAGGAGAGAGAGGAAGAGACGGAAAGACAGAAACATCAATGTGAAAGGGACACATTGAGTGGCTGCCTCCCGCACGACCCAACCAGGGCCGGGGACAAACTGTAACCGAGGTACGTGCCCTTAGCGGGAACCGAACCCGGGACTCTCCGGACAGCAGGCCAATGCTCTAACCACTTAGCAAAACTGGTCAGGGCTCTTTTCCTTTATTGATTTGTAGAGAAAGAAGAAGGGACAGGGAGAAGAGAGATGAAAACATTGATAAGAGAGAACATCAATGACAGACTGACCGCCTCCTGCATGCCCCACACTGGGAATTTGACCCACAACCTGGGCATGTGCCCTGACTGGAAATTGAACCAGCGACCTCTTGGTGCATGGACAGATACTCAACCACTGAGCCACACCGCTGGGTAAGATTAACACATTTTTAAAAATCCTCACCGGAGGACATTTTTGCATTTATCCTCAGATAGAGCGGGAGGGAGAGGGGGGAAGAGAGAGAGAAACATCAACGTGAGAGAGACACATATAGTGGCTGCCACCCACACATCCCAACTGGGGCGGGGGCAAACTGCAACCGAGGTACATGCCCTTAGTGGGAACTGAACCCAGAACTCTCTGGTCTGCGGGCCGACGCTCTAACCACTGAACCAAGCCGTCAGGGCAAGATAAACACTTTTTAAGTGTACAACTAAGTGACTTTTAGTATGCTCACAGAGTTGTGCAACATTATCACTATTTAACTCCAGAACATTTTAATCACCCCAAAGAGAAACCCTGTACCTAGTACCCCATTGCCCAACCACACTTTGTGTTTTGTCTGTATGGAGTTGCCTATTCTGGAATTTTATATAAATGCCATCATACAATATGTGGCCTTCTGTGTTGAGTTTCTTTCACTAACACTGTGTTTTCAAGGTTCATCATGTTGTTGCATGTGTCAGTACTTCAATCCTTTGTATGGCCAAATAACACAGGCACATCTTACTTTATTGCACTTTGCTTGACTCTAGTTTGCAGATACCGGGTTTGTGGCAACACTGCATCAGCCAAGCCTACTGGTGCCATTTTCCCAACAGCATTTGTTCATTTCGTCTCTGCCACATTTTGATAATTCTCAAAACATTTTAAACTTTTTCATTATTGCTATATTTGTTATGTTGATCTTTGATGTTACTAGGGCAAGATCTTCCTACAGAAAAAAAGTATGACTTGCTGATGGTTCAGATGATAGTTAGCATTTTTTAGCAAAAAAGTACTTTTAAATTAAGGTATGCAGTTTTTTAGACATAATGCTATTGCACACTTAATGGACTATAGCATATATGGCGTAAACAACTTGTATATGCACTGGGAAACCAAAGAATTCATGTGACTCACTTTATGGCAATGTTCATTTTATTGTGGTGGTCTGGATCTGAACCCACACTATCTCTGAGGTGTTCCTGAGTCACATATATCACACTTTGTTTTGCTATTCGTCAACTGATAGACATTTGGATTGTTTCCACTTCTTGGCTATTATAAATAACACTACACTGGCCAGTTTGGCTCAGCAGTTGGAGCACTGGCCTGCAGACCGGAGAGTCCCGGGTTCGGTCCCCACTAAGAGCAGGTACCTCGGTTGCGGTTTGTCCCTGGCCCTGATTGGGGTCGTGTGGGTAGCAGCCACTTGATGTCTGTCTCTCGCATCGATGTTTCTCTCTCTCTCTCCCGCTCTATCTGAACATAAAAATACAAAAATGTTCTCCGGTGAGGATAAAAAAAATAAATAAACACTGCTATGAACGTTACTGTACAAGGTTTTGTATGGTGCCATATGTTTTCAATGTTGCGGGGAGGGAGGGGGTACAAATCTAAAAGTGAAATCTTTGAGTCATATGGTAACTATAGCTTTCTGTTGGAACTTCCGAACTGTTTTCCAAAGTGTCTGAAACATTTTACTTTTCCCGCATAGTTAAATGAGGATGCCAACTTCCTGACATCCTTGAAACACTTTTACTGTCCATCCTTTTTATTACAGCCATCCTAGTAGATTTAAAGTGGCATCTCTTTGTGATTTTGATTTGTATTTCTCTAAAACAAATGATGTTGAGCATTTTTTCATATGCTTATTGGCCATCTGCATATCTTCTTTGGATAAATGTAATTTTACTTTTTTTTTTTCCTCACCCGAGGACATTTTTCCATTTTTTTTTGTTCAGATAGCGCGGTAGGGAAAGAGAGGAAGAGAGAGAGAGAGAAACATCAATGTGAAGGGACACATTGGGTGGCTGCCACCCGCACGACCAACCAGGGCCGGGGACAAACTACAACCAAGGTACGCGCCCTTAGCGGGAACCGAACCCGGGTCTCTCAGTACCGCAGGCCGACGCTCCAACCGCTGCGCCAAACCGGCCAGGGCTAATTTTACTTTTTTTTTTTTTTATCCTCACCTGAGGACATTTTTTTTTTTTTGATAGTTTGTTCAGATAGAGTGGGAGGGAGAGAGAGAGAGAAACATCGATGTGAAAGGGACACATCGAGTGGTTGCTACCCACACGACCCAACCAGGGCCGGGGACAAACTGCAACCAAGGTACGTGCCCTTAGCGGGAACCGAACCCGGGTCTCTCCAGACCGCAGGCCAATGCTCTAACCGCTGAGCCAAACTGGCCAGGGCTAATTTTACTTTTTAAAAAGGTCACTCTGGCTATAGTGTGGCAAATAGATAGTGCAAGCAGGAAAAGGAGGGCAAGGACAAAAATAGAAAACTAGCTAGGAGACAGTGGAAGTAGTCTAGGCAAGACTGTGGGCATAACCGAGACTGCTGAAAGAGGAGATGGTGCGAAGTGACAATTCAGGCTATGTTTAAAGGAGAGAGGTGCCAGAAAGAGCTGATGAACTACTATAGAGTAAGATGAAAAGAATTCTCTAGAATGACTCCTAGGATTTTTGGCATGAGCAATTAGATTAAACTGAGTTGGGAAGAACAGAAGAGAAGGTTTTTGAGGGGAAATCAAGAGTTATGTGAGGGGAAAAAAGTGTTTTTGGCAAAGTTAAATTTAGGATGACTGTTAAACATCCAAGTGACTATGCTGGTTAGATAACTGGAAATAAAAGTCTGCAACTCAGGGGGAAAAAAATGCAAATCTGAACTAACCTGGGGAAAGAGTGTAGGCAGAGAAATAAAGAAGGCCAAGGCTGAGCCTGGGGTTCAAACCATCATCACTCAGAGGTCAGCCCAGAGGGGGAGGAGCTGGCAGAGGAGACTGAGAAGGTATGGCTGGTGAGGTGGAAGAAACCAAGGTATGGAATCTAGGAAGCCAAAGAAGAATTATTCACGGAGGGAATATTCAATTAAGTTGAATGCTGCTGAGAGTTCAAGGAAGTGGATAGAGAACAAACAACTGGAATTGAAAAAGTGAAGGTCTTTGGTGACTTTGGTAAGAATGACGTCAGTTAAATAGTTGAGATAAAAGCCCAATTAATGTCGGTTAAGAGAGACTGGATGCTGAGGAACTAGTGCACGATGATAGACAACTCTTTCCACTCATTACTTTGTGTGTGTGAAAACTAAAAGAATTAGTGAGGAAACTGGAAAGTCAACTGTAATATTAACATGTATTACTTTAGAATTATCTTAATCTGATTTTTCATTAATTTAGATGCATCTCCTTCCAAGAAACATGTTAGGGTAATATTACTGTACTTGTTATCTAATATTTCATATGTAACTAGAATCCTTTATTTTGAAAGGTACATGTGGTTAAAGGGTAATTCTCCTAATCAACCCTAGAAAACTAGGTAGACAAAATCCCCTTAACACTAGCTAGAAAATAATTTTGATAAGTCACTTAAGTTCCCTGGAGTTTAGTTTCCACATTTGTAAAATAACAAGAGTTGGTTAGGATACTCCAAGTCCTTTCAGTTCTAACAATCCAAAATGCCTCCCCTACCCACAATAGCATACAGCTTACAGAACAATAAAAAATTAACATGAGGAACCCAACTGTTATCTGTGAAATTTAGAGAAGGTTCATTAACTAAGAAAGTCTAACCCTGGCCAGTTTGGCTCAGAGGTTGGAGTGTTGGCCTGAGGACTGAAGGGTCGTGGGTTTGATTCCCAGTCAAGGGCCCATGCCTTGGTTGCAGGTTCAATCCCCAGCTCATTCGAGAAGCAACCAATGGGTCTCTCTCACATCAATGTCTCTCCCCCCCCCACTCCATCTACAACTAAATGGAAAAAGAAAAATCCTCAGGTGAGTATTAACAAAGAAAGTCTAATAAACTACACTGGATAAAATAAAGAGAAACTAGAAATCATCATTCGACAAATATTTACTTAGTGCTCTATGTCAGGTACTGCTTACGCAATAAAAATACAACAAATAAAAATTGTCAAAAAGTGGTAACATTAAAAATTTTTTTTTCTCTTTTATTGATTTTAGAGACAGAGAAAGGGAGAGGGAGAGAGATAGAAACATCAATGAGAGAGAACACTGACTGGCCGCCTTCTGCATGCCCCCCACTGGGGATTTGGCCCACAACCTGGGCATGTGCCCAGACCAGGAATCGAACCAGCAACCTCTTGGTGCATGGGTCGATACTCAACCACTGAGTCACACCCGCCGGACAACATATTTCTTTTTCTAAAAGGGCAAGACTGAAATATAGTGTAGAGGATGCACATTTGGGTGATAAAATTACGATGAAATACTAACAAGTGATTACTATAAAAGTCAGGATAACAGTTCCTGATGAGGGACCCTGAACAGCTTTGACAGAAACAGAACACAAGGAAGAGGCTTCTGGAGTAGGTGGCGAAGTTCTATGTCTTGACCTGGGTGATATTACCCTTATAAATACTCATTAAGCCAGATTTGATTCTTGTGGTTATTCTGTATCTGTGCTTTTATTCTAGTGGGGGGAGACAAGGAATATATAAAATAATAAATAGGTGATATATTATATTAGAATGTAATAAATGCTACTAAGAAAAATAAAACAGCAGAGAGGGATAAAGAATGTTGGGACGGCCTGGCCAGTGTAGCTCAGCGGATTGAGCATTGTCTGTGGACTGAGATGTCCTGGTTCGATTCCTGGTCAGGGCACACGCCCGGGTTGCGGGCTCGATCCCCAGTAGACGACATGCAGGAGGCACCCGATCGATGTTTCTCTCTCACAGCAATGTTTCTATCTCTCTCTCCCTTCCTCTCACTCTAAAAAAAAATCAATGAAAACATATTTTTTTAAAAAAGAATGTTGGATCCCACTTCTAGGAATATACCCTAAGAAGCCTGAAACATTAATCAGAAAGAATATATGTACCCCCATGTTCGTAGCAGCACTATTTACAATCGCTAAGATCTGGAAACAGCCCAAGTGTCCATCAGTAGATGAATGGATAAAAAAGCTGTGGTACACATACACAATGGAGTACTATGCAGCTGTAAGAAAGAAAGATCTCTTATCCTTTGAAATGACAAGGAGGGACCTGAAAAGTATTATCCTAAGTGAAAGAAGCAAAGGTATTATCCTAAGTGAAAGAAGCAAAGCAGAAAAAAACAAATACCACTGATCTCACTTATTTGTGGAATATAATGAACATAACAGTCTGAGGAATAGGGTAGACCCAGAAACATGGAAGTAGGGTACAGACTGACAACCCTCAGAAGAAGGGGTGGTGGGGGGAGGGAAGAGATAAACCACAGAACGTATATGCATGTACGCATAACCAATGGACATGGACAACAAAGTCAGGGACGGGGCAGGGAGGGATGGGGAGGAGGGTGTCAATGGGGTAAAAATGGAGAAACATCTTTAACAAAAATAAAATTAAAAAAAGAAAAATAAATAAAATAAAAAGAATGTTGGGCCCTAGCCAGTTTGGCTCAGCAGTTGGAGCATTGGCCTACGGTCCAGAGAGTCCCGGGTTCGGTTCCCACTAGGGGCACATACCAAAAAAATAAAAACAAACAAAAAAAGAATGTTGGCCCTGGCCAGTTTGACTCAGTAGCTAAAGCGTCGGCCCATGGACCAATGAGTCACAGGTTCGATTCCAGTCAAGGCCACATACCTTGGTTGCAATTCGTCCCTGGTCAGGTTGTGCCGGAAGCAAGCAGCTGATGTGGCTCTACCACATTGATGTTTCTCTCTTTCTCTCTCTCCCTCCCTCCCACTCTCTATGATGATAAATAGAAAACTATCCTTGGGTGAGGAATAAAAATAAATAAATAAATAAATAGAATGTTGGCCCTAGCATTATGGCTCAGTGGTTGAGCATCGACCCATGCACCAAGAGGTCACCAGTTCGATTCTCAGTCAGAGTACATGCCCAGGTTGTGGGCTCAATCCCCAGTGGGAGGTATGCAGAAGGCAGCCAATCTATGTTCTCTCTCATATGTTTCTATCGCCCTGGCCAGTTTGGCTCAGCGGTTAGAGCGTCGGCCTGCGGTCCGGAGAGACCCGGGTTCGGTTCCCGCTAAGGGCACGTACTTCGGTTGCAGTTTGTCCCCGGCCCTGGTTGGTCGTGCAGATGGCAGCCACTCGATGTGTCCCTTCACATCGATGTTTCTCTCTCTCTCTCCCTTCCTCTCTCTCCCTCCCACTCTATCTGTACAAAAAATGGAAAAATATCCTCGGGTGAGGATAAAAAAAAAAAAAAATAGCAGTTCATATGTTTCTATCACTCTCTCTAAAATCATAAAAAAAAAGAATGTTGGGAAGTACACTGCAATTTTGATTAAATGTAGAGAAGGCTTCAATAAGATGACATTTAAGATCTTAAGGAAGCCCTGCCCGGTTTAGCTCAGCGGTTAGAGCGTCGGCCTGCGGTCCAGAGAGACCCGGGTTCGGTTCCCACTAAGGGCATGTACCTCAGTTGCAGTTTGTCCCCGGCCCTGATTGGGTTGTGTGGGTGGCAGCCACTCGATGTGTCCCTTTCATGTCAATGTTTTTCTCTCTCTCTCGCTCTCTCTTCCTCTCCCTCCCATTCTACTTGAACAAAAAATGGAAAAATGTCTTCAGATGAGGATAAAAATTTTTTAAAAAAAGATGTTAAGGAAACGAGAGAACAATCTAAGTATATAGAAAAAGCTGCAGGTAGAAGGAACAGTAAGAGTCGAGTCTTGACACCTGGCGTGCCCCTGCATGTTTGAGAATTATCATGGAAGCCAGTGTGAATGAGGGATAGTAGTTGGAGATGAAGGAAGAAACAGGGGGCAGATCATATTAGAGTCTAGACCACTGTAAGAATTCTACTTTTACAGAATGACTAGGAGACAAAAAAGGGTTTAGGGTCTTGTCCTGACTTATTATTTTAACAGGATCACTGGGGCAGCTGTGTTGGGAATAGACAGAAGGAGACTACTACTGGAATCAAGGAGACTACCATTGGAATCAAGGATGACGACCAAGTTTGGGGCTTGAACAAATAGAATGAAAGTGTTATTATTATTATTATTATTTTTTTTTAGAGAGAGAAACATCGACGTGAAAGGGACACATCTAGTGGCTGCCCAACCAGGGCTGGGGACAAACTGCAACCAAGGTTCATGCCCTTAGCGGGACCCAATCCCAGGTTTCTATGGACTACAGGCCGACGCTCTAACCACTTAGCAACCCGACCAGGGCTGGAAGTGTTATTAATTCCATGGGCAAGATTGCTGGAGGAAGTGATCTAGGGAACATTAGAAACTCAGTTTTATAACATGCTACATTCAAAATGCCTATTAGATATGGGAATAAAGACATCGAATGAGCAGGTGGATATATAAATCTGGGCATAGAAACATTTTATATTATGTTTTAAAGTTTTCTACAGGCCTTTAGTATCTCCCTTATATGCAATAATAAAACAAGCTCACAGCAAACAAACTGAACAAACAATATAATATTGAAGGCACTGCTGTACTTGCCAATGACTATGGAGAGTGAGGACTGCAGCCAGGGAGTAGTCCATCGTAGAGGAAGGATTCAAATAAGCAGCTGGAAGTAGGCCCAGGAGCAAAACACTGACAACCCTCTCACCAGTCCAGTGAAGGGATGCAGCCTTGGAACCAGCTATAGAAAGGAAAGACCAGATTCACATGAGTTGAAGGGGGAAACCTATCTGTCACATTCAGTACCTGCCACAAAATAACTCAAACTGACAGAATAGCAAACAGTTAAGCACATAAGACTTAACTCTGAGCAAAAAGAGGGTAAGATAAGAAGGTAACTGAAAGACATGCTATCTCCCTTTTTTAGAACAGGGTGTCTTAACACCTGTATATGTTGATTAGAAGACAGATCCACTTTACTTATAGACAAGAAGATGGACAAAGTATCTTTACAGAATTACCAATCCTGGACTTCATGCAATGGATAAATACCTTATGAATATAAGTTAAAGACATTTGAGAATGTTCCTTTAAAACATTTTTTTTTAAACACCTTTCTAATCTCAAGAAAGGTGTTAAAATTCCTCCTAAAACAAAATGAAACCAGCCAATTCAGAGAAGCAAAGTTCTGATGTCAAGTTTTAGGACCATGGTCCTTGTTCTGTCCCATTGCTTATCAACAGCAATGGAACACGAAAACTTATTTTAAGCACGTGAAAAACAAAATGGGCTATTAACATTTCTTTGAAAGCCTCTATCTTTTTTCGGTTGCAGACCCCTTTGGAAATCTAACAAAGGATGCAGTGACTTCCCCAAAAAATTCAAGACATGCACATTAAAACTATGTATACAACCCTGGCCGGTTTGGCTCAGCGGTTAGAGCATCAGCCTGCGGTCTAGAGAGACCCGGGTTCGGTTCCCACTAAGGGCATGTACCACGGTTGCAGTTTGTCCCCGGCCCTGATTGGGTTGTGTGGGTGGCAGCCACTCGATGTGTCCCTTTCATGTCAATGTTTTTCTCTCTCTCTCTCTCTCTCTTCCTCTCTCTCCCTCCTACTCTATCTGAACAAAAAGTGGAAAAGTGTCCTTGAGTGAGGATTAAAAAAATAATAATAAATAAATAAACTATGTATACTACTTCAGGGGCTTTCCTTCAGTCCCATGCACCCCAATTAAAACTACTCTGCTAAATCTAACTCAACTAAGCAGAGAAATGCAGAAACAAAAACTTTTCAAAGATAAAATTAGTCTAAAAAGCAAAAATACTACACTTGTATAATTTTAATTTCTCATAACGCAGATGCAACTATGTCTAGGTAGTTGATGTAAAAATCAAGAGAAGTCTTTATTTACGTAAAATACTGATCTTTCCACACTTCAAAAATGGAAATACAGTTAACTTATTATTCATCTACAGACTCTAAAACTAATTTTAATAATATATAAACAGTATTCATCCAAGAAATGCCATGATTTTAATACCAATCTATATATAAATAAAGTTAACTACAACTATAAATATGTGTGACTTTTTAAAAAATTGTCCACTATTTTAAAGTATTCATATCTGGCTCCTCTCCATAAGCTAACTAAATAACAATGACTAAACTATTGGACAGACTCTTCCTACAGAACTATTTTCTTTCTTTTTTTTTTATTAAAAAGTTTAAAGACTTATACCAGAAGGTTGTCTGAGTGTAAATGGCATCATTCAACCATGTTAGCATTGTCTGCACAAAGGTGTAGGCTAGGTCTTCACTGGACAGAGCTGGACACAAGAATTCCCCCCACAGACAACAAGTCCTCCCAAAGGCATGATAATTGGCTCAGATGAAGATGGCCAGAGCCCAGAAAGCAGCAGCAATGGAGAAAACATACAATGGCGGCTGGGTGACAGGTGAACATGCTGTATTCCACACCATCCTGGGGTAGGTTGGTCCTGGAGAAATGCTGAGATCTGAGCAGGTCTGACCACTGGGGTTCGGAGGAAGAGAGCTGAGGAAAGAGACATTGGGGGATCATAAGCACCTCTCTTATAACAGTGCTGACATTTTCTAAATAAACATATGCAAGCTACTTCAACCCAAACAGGGAATAACATAGCATCTATTTCACTGGGTTGCTGTGAGGTCAGACTAAGCAGCCACTGAAAGACTGAAGAATCAACAAATTACTTATGTAAAAGAGATTCACTTTTACTAAATTTTTTAAAAGTTTTTACTGGTTTCTTTTTTAGAGAAAGGGAGAGAGACATTGATCAGCTGCCTCATGCATGCCCCCTATTGGGGATTAAGCCTACAACCTGGGCATGTGCCCTGCCAGGGAATTAGGACTTCAGTCCATGGGTCGAAGTTCAATCCACTGAACCACAGTGGTAGGGCTCATTTTTACTAATTTTCAAAAGTAAATTACAGCCTGGCTGGTGTTGCTCAGTGGATTGAGCAATATCCCATGGACTGAGAGGTCCTGGTTCAATTCTCAATCAGGGCATATGAATGGGTTGCTGACTAGATCCCCGGTAGTGGGATCCCCGGTAGTGGGTATGCAGGAGGCAGTCAATCGATGTTCTCTCTCATCAATGTTTCTCTCTTTCCCTTCCTCTCTCTCTCTAAAAAATAATAAAAATATATTTAACAAAATAAAATATGTCCAGCCAGTGTGGCTCAATGGCTGAGCATTGGCCCATGCACCAAGAGGTTGCCAGTTCGATTCCCAGTCAGGGCACATGCCCAGGTTGTGGGCCCAATCCCCAGTGGGGGACATGCAGGAGGCGGCCAATCAATGTTGTTTCTATCTCTCTCTCCCCCTCTCCCTTTCTCTCTAAACAAAATTCAGTAAAGAAAAAAATTTGTTTAATATTAAAAATATAAAAAATAAGTTATAGCCCTCTCCTTCCATTTATCCATTCTGCTCTGCACTGGAGTAAGAGATAAAAGATAGTCTTTGTCCTCAACAAATTCAGTCTAGTTTGGCAAGGTGAGTGTGAGGACCATGTAGGATACCTATTACTGTTCTCCTTTTCAAGATAAATTTCTCCACTTGTACTCTGAACCCACCCATTTTTGTCCCCTTTGGGATCCTGTCTTGTGGTTGAAAAACAGACAAACCTGCCCTGGCTGGTTTGGTTCAGCAGTTAGAGCATCAGCCTGTGGACTGGACAGACCCAGGTTTGGTTCCCACTAGGGATATGTACCTCGATTGCAGTTTGTCCCCAGCCCTGGTTGGGGTCATGTGGGTGGCAACCAGTCGATGTGTCTCTCTCATATCGATGTTTCTCTCTCTGTCTCCCTCCCTCTCTCCCTCCAGCTCTATCTGAAACTAAATGCAAAAATGTCCTCGATGCCCTGGCCAGTTTGGCTCAGCGGTTAGAGCGTCGGCCTGCGGTCCGGAGAGACCCGGGTTCGGTTCCCGCTAAGGGCACGTACTTCGGTTGCAGTTTGTCCCCGGCCCTGGTTGGTCGTGCAGGTGGCAGCCACTCGATGTGTCCCTTCACTTCGATGTTTCTCTCTCTCTCCCCCTTCCTCTCTATCTGTACAAAAAAATGGAAAAATATCCTCGGGTGAGGATAAAAAAAAAAAAAAAAAGTCTTCGAATGAGGATAAAAAAGACAAACCTAAATTAAGCTAACTATACCGCTTACTAGCTGTGAGATGATCAACAATTAATCTCAATGTCCTCATTTGTAAAATGGAAATAATAGGACTTGCTTCATAATACTGTTGAAAATTAAATAATATATGCAAGGTATTCAATATAATTCCCAAAAAGTTATAAGCACTCAATAAAAGGTAATTTCTCTCCTATATCTTTTTTTAAAATCCTCACCAGAGGATATGGTTTTGTTGTTTGTTTTTTGTTACTCCTCACCAGAGGATGTTTTTCCATTGATTTTTAGAAGGGGGGGTAACATTGATGTGAGAGACACATCAACTGGTTGCCTCCTGAAAACCCCAACAGGGGGCCAGGGATCAAACCTACAACCCAGGTACATGCCTTTGACCAGGAATTGCTCTTGCAACCCTTTGGTCTGCAGGCCGACGCTCGAGCAAAACTAGCCAGGGCTGGGGTTTAATTGATTTTTTCAGAGAGAGTGGGAGAGAAAGAGAGACAAACATCAATTGAAGAGAGATACACCAATCAGTTGCCTCCTTCAAGGGCCCGGACTGGGGATTGAACCCACAACCTAGGTATGTGCCCTGACCAGGAATCACACCCACAGCCTTTTGGTGCACAGGACAATGCTGCAACCAACTGAGCCACCCAGCCAAGGCTCTCGCCTATATCTTTAAAAATAATTTTTTTTTCCTTTTATTGATTTTGGAAAGAGAGGAAGGGAGAGAGATAGAAACATCGATGAGTGAGAACATTGACTGGCACCTCCTGCATGCCCCCCCCTGGGGATCAGGGCCACAACCTGGGCATGTGGGAATCGAACTGGGCAAGTTCTTGGTGCATGGGTCAACGCTCAACCACTGAGCCACACCGGCCGGACTTGCCTATATCTTTAACTTGGCCATTTTCCCTCCACTGATGTAATACACTTCCTTGATCCTAATTCCTCTAATGCCCAGGTACTCTTCTTCTACACTTTCTCCTCTTTCCAACTATGCTTCTTTAAAGTGTTATCTAAATCATTCCAACTTCCTCACTTCCCTATCATTCTTTAACTCAGAAACTTATTTTTATCCCCACCAAAGCTGCTCTGGTAAGTTGCTAATGGTCTCAAGTGCCATACTGACAGGTACTGTTCAGTCTTCCATCTTATTGGGTATATCGCCATCACCTGGCATTACGGTCTTTCCTTCCTTTTTTTCTCCGACAGTAATTCTCACCTTAGTTCTCTCTTTGCTTTTGACCATCCTACATCAGTCTCCTCCTGCATTTACTCTAAAATGTTTCCCCAGAATTCTATCATCTGCCCTTGCTCTCCTCCCTTCCTCTGCCCAACCCCGGCCATTCTGTCCACTCAGCTTCTACTGCCTATAAATTGATGACACCCATATTCTGTATCTCCAGCCCTGATCTCTCTCCAGTTTCAGAAGTTTAAGTGCCTGCTGGGGTCCTTCCCTGAGATGTACTACATGGTCCTCATACTCACCCTGCCAAAAACTAAAATCATCCTTCAACTCACTTTCTCATCCAAAACTGTCTCCCATTTGCATATTCCCCATGTTAATGACACCCCACCTTCAATCTAACCCAGAATCTGGAAGTCATGTAGGACTTTCTCCCTAAATTCAATCAACTGCCAAATCTTACTGATGTACCCAGACATTTCTTGAGACAGTTTTCCCTTTTTTGTACTACTATTCAAGTTGAGGACCTCACCATCCTTGCCTGGACCACTACAATATCTCATCTCCCTGACTTGTGCCTTAACCTGACCATCTCCCGTGAGGGCCATCTGCTACATTGTTACCAAAGTGGTCAATCTAAACTGCAAATCTCTGTCAAATATTTCAATGGCTCCCCTTCGCACCAGGTCAAATGCATGCTCCTTATCAAGACAAATTCTTGTATGATTTGATTAGAGGTCACCTTTCCGGATTCATCTCTCATGTCTTACTTGAGCTTCATGCTCTAATAATACCCAATTTCTTTTCTTTTATCTCATAACAACCAGTTTCTATACCTTTATCATTGATTTTGCTTATCCCAGTAGTCCTAACTGTAACGCCCTTACTCCTGTGGCCTTCCTTATCCTAAAGACTCAAACCAGGCACACCTCCTTCAGGAACCGAGACAAAGTAATCCTTCCCAACACAGAGCTAAATATATTCTCCCTCGGGACTGGCATAACAATTTATGTACAGCACAGCAGTTTTTGTTTGATGTTGAATTATACTTATATGTGTTTTCCCTGTAAAAAAAAAAAAAGGAAAAGTCTTTAAGGGCAAGAACTATATTTTATTCACATTTGTATTCCAAACTTACTATAGTGCCTGGAATAATAAACATGCCCAGTTCAATGTTTATCGAATTGATCTACGTCAACTCCAGGGAACGAGCAAGACCAGGCTCTGGGCTCCAATGAATAGCCTCAGCAGGAATGTAATTTCCAGAAGCAGTTCTCTTTGAGATTTACCCCCTCACCACGTCTGCCCAGAGCAGGAGAAATGCGCGCTCGGATGAATATCTGGGCCTCTAGGCCACGGGGGTCCTTGCTGCGGTTTCGGCAGGAGCCAGAGTGGCCAAAGGGAAGCAGGAGGAACTCCCTGCTCCAGAGGTCTCACCGCGCCGCCGCAGTGGGCTCCTCACCGCACCCCCTCCCCGGCTGGAAGCTGCGCTGAGAACCTCCGGCCGCGGGACCCCTCACCTCGGCCTCTTTGCGCACCGCAGAGGACACTCAGCCTCCAGATGCTCGCCATCTCGGTTCCAGAAGGTTCAAGGTCATCCAGCAACCCGGAAACAGTCATAGGACACCTCCCACCAGAAGAAGAAAACAAGGAAAAGGAAAACTCTCGGTGAACCGGAAGTCGGAAGGCGGGAGTAAGCGCGCGCACGCCGCACGCCGCACGCCGCACACGCGCACGACGGTCGAAGTCCGCCGCCCGACGCCGACAATGGCGGAACTGGCTGAGGCGGATGAAGCGGAACTGCAGCGCTTGGTGGCGGCCGAACAGCAGAAGGCGCAGTTCACTGCACAGGTGCGGGGACGGGGATCAGGGTGAAAAGAGGGTTGATAGAGTACAGGTCCCAGGCTCCCGCGGTGAGGTCGCCGGATGGCCCTGCTACGTCCGGTTCCCCTCGCAAAAGAAACGAATGGTGGCACTCCTTCCGCTGGTGGTGCTCAGGTGCCCGTTAAGCCAGCCCAGGGTGGGGAAAAATAGTAGGTGTCAAACAGAAAATAAAGATTTGAGCTACTCCAGGACACGGAGCCGAGGTGGGCGGCGAGCCCTTTGGGCTGACATTTGGAGATCTAAGTTCTAATCCTGCCTCTGCCACGTACAGGCCATGTGCCCCCAAAGGAGACACCCATCCACTACGCGTCTTAGTTTCGCAGCCGCCCTTTGCCTTGCTGGATTGTAGTGATCAAATGCGATAATGTATTTGAAAACGATAGAGTGGTAGAATGTTATTGGGGAAGGGGGACTCTGAAGTAATCAGTCTAGACTATTAGTTTACAAGTTTTGGTTGGAGCCCTTTCGGCATGGTTGGAACCCCGACGTGGTCCCTTATTAGCTGCGTTACTTAGGGCTAATGACCGAACTATGGCGCTTAAATGAAGGTGAAAGGTCATCTTTTAGGACCAAAGAAAAGATTTACTGAGTGCCTAGTTCCCAGCCTCCCAAATGGTGAGCCCTAGGTAAATGGTTATTTTTCTCTCCTCCCACCCCACGTTAGAAATCTGAGTTCTGAACATTATGAGAGTGCATACATTTCCTGTGCCTGTTAAGCATTTTCCTGGAGAGTGGATCCATAAGCTTTATTGGATTCTCAGATGTGTTCATGACCTCAAAAAGGTTAAGAACTTAACTACTCTGTAAGGGAGAGTTTTAGAATGATAAGGATGCAGTGGTTTGGTGGAATTGGTACCATACCTTCCCAGCTTACACTGATGCTAGTTGGACAATATAATAAAAGGTATTAATCCTGCCTGAATATTTACATTCTGATTGAGGACTTGACACAATTAGAACATAATAGACGGTGGCCTTCAAGGAGGTAAGAATTTGTTGAACTGTTTTGAAGGATGGATAAAATCTCTAGGGAGGGCATTCCAGGAATAGAGTCAAGTTGAGTCTGCTGTGCTGGCCTCATTGGAACAGTATGGGTGAGGCGTTAAATAAGGTAGGGTCCTGAGTGGCTAACAGACAAATTGATGCATTAAGCAGAGGTGACTTGATGGGAAGTATTTTTTAATTACTAGAGAAGAAAAAAATAGAAATGGAAAGGATAAAAGGATCGTTGTAATGTAGGGATGAGGACAGATTAGGAAGTGAGGAAAGAGGAGGCCCATGATTTGTTGATTGAAAGAATGTTTTAGTCAATTAACAGAAAATGAAAATGGGAAGGAAATAAGAAAATTGGTAGTTGGACCTGTATACAGACCCCAATGGTTACTATTTTTCTTTATTCTTAGGTGCATCACTTCATGGAGTTGTGTTGGGATAAATGTGTGGAGAAGCCAGGGAATCGCCTAGACTCTCGCACTGAAAACTGTCTCTCCAGCTGTGTGGACCGCTTCATTGACACTACTCTTGCTATCACCAGTCGGTTTGCCCAGATTGTACAGAAAGGAGGGCAGTAGACTATTCCCTGGAAGAATGACAGAAGAAGCAAAGGACTTGTTATTAAACAGATTGAAAGGCCAGAGGGGGAAAGATGTCAACTCACTGTCAGGTTAACTTCAGGCTATTACTAAGCCTGTTGGTGCTAAAGTAACAGATCAAATGTTTAAAAGTGAAATTTATTTGGAGTTCAGAAATTCCACATTGTATCACAGCAGTTACTCAATAAAATGTGAATTCTCCAATCTTAATAAGATCTGATTGGCAGAAATACTAGAAATAAATATGTTCCAAGGCTAGCAGTGCAAATGGGAGATATTAAGTTTTGAAGAGTCATCCTAAGCCAGATTTAAGGGGGCTGGAAGAGCCAACAAAGCCTTAGCCTAAGGCATAGAAGAAAATTTAGGGTTGAGAAAAGTGAAGAACACAAAACAGCTTTATTGCTTATACGTGACCCAGAAAAGGTAAACATGACAAAAAAAAATAAGTAAGATGTGTGTTCATTGGGGAAAAGATAGGTCTGCTACTATGGGAGGAAGGGAAGTTCAAGACCCAAACAGAACCAGCTTCCTGGAGATGCCCTGTTCTACTCACTCATCCTCCTGAGTCTGTGCTTAGAATCAGTACTTTTATAGCATAGAAACAATGCTAAAAAAAAAAAAAAAAAAAAACCACGTGAACACTCCCTCCAACAAAGATTTCACTTGCTCCAAGAATAAAATAATTGCTTTAGGTTAAGAGGTAGTAATTATATACTGTTATTCCCCCTTGGGCCCCTACTAATCCCAAAGGAAAAAATATATATATACCACTGAACATTAACAATTGAGTACCAAAGTTATTAATATTTCAAATAAATATCCCCAAAGGTAGCACCTGCTTAGAATTGGGATAGGGAACTACTGGCCAACCATGTGCTTTATGACTAAGCATTTTATTAGAAATCTGTTCTGTAAAGAGAAAAAATTTAGCAGAACTATAAAATATTACCTCATGGAATGATGTCATAGCTATACTCTACTGCTGGTGTCTTAACACTGTCATGTCACCATGAAGTATTTATTACACATGGGATTAAAAGGAAGGCCAGGGAGGTTAACTTGCCTACTCCAGGCCACATAACCAATTAGTGGCAGAACCAAGACGGGTTTTCAAGCTCTTTTACTCAGCCCATGAAGTGACAACCAGGAAAAACAATACGTCACTTGATTTGCCATAATGAAAAAATTAACTTTTGTTCTGCCAGCCTTCTTTCAGTGTTGTTTTGGTTTCTTATGAATTAACATAGTAGGGATTACAGCATGTTGCAAAGGAAAATAATATGGTCTCTGCTTGGTGCTTTAATCCAAAGGCAGGCTGGAAAGAAGTAGACATGTCCCTGAGAAGCATATTTCATTTTGGATTTGATTCAACCTAGTTTCAGGGAAAATCTAAAGTTCATTAATAGATTTAGAAATGAACAAGGAAGACAACATTAAAATGGCAGATGCTGCTCTGAAGCCTGTTCAGAGCACCATTAACATGACTAAGTCCTAATTCTTCCCCATTTGTTGAGGACTTAGCTAAAAGAAATAATTTTTGAACACAAGTCCATTTAGGCAATATACAGCAATGGAACTAGAAAACCATTTACTATCCAATCACCATGGTTATGGGTATACTGAGTATAGCTACAGTCCCTGTCCAGCAGGGAAATTTGACAGAAAACCCTAGTCTCTTCTGATAACAGCTATTTATGGACATTGTAAAGGGAAAGTATTCGTTCTGCTCATCTCCCCATTAAATAAATTACCACATCTGTGGGGCCAAAATACAGGAAGATCAAAGCACCAAGGCTGAGACAAAGTCAAGTGGCACCTGCTATATAAACCAAACGAGAGTAACACAATGTTCCCTTATACATTCTGCACAGCACTGGTTCCAATCCACCTCTAGATCCCAGCCCTTGCTTTCTCCAAATTGAACATTCTAATTGGTGTACCCAGGTCATTGGATTCTGCTTTCTGGGTCCTTTAATTTGCTGTATATGCACTCTACACTAAATGTAATTAACTGCAAAAAATAATCTCTTCAAGAAACCTTCATAACAAAATACCAGATTCCCTATTACCAATAAGAGAATCAAGTTTAACAGGCCAAAATAGAAGACAAGTCTGTCAGAACATACACAGATGGCACAAGACGGCTCTGACCTCAGGGCCCCTGTGCTGAACAAGAGTCATTGGCAAAGCCCCGAGGTGCAAGAGCTGTAAATATCCGAGTCACATGGAAACTGAAGAATGTTTCTCATTTAGTCATCCTCTGAACTCTCAGCAGACCTTTCATCTGTAGCCACTTTCCAATTTGTGCGTTTGTTTGTCCTCTCCTGTATTTCATTGCTAACTACAGGGATGTTGACTTTATCTCTCTTTTCCCTTTTGGTTTTCTTAGTGTCTCTTTCCTCAGAACTGCTGGATGCAGAATCATCTGACTGAGAAGTGTCACTTTCTGCCTCTAAAACTAAAGCAGGCTTTTTGAGAGACTTTTTCCTCGATTTTTTCTTACGCTTATGTGGTTGTTTCCTGGTACTAGAAGCCCCAGTTTCTTCCGAGAACTCGTTTGAGGAATCTGCTGTTACAGCTGCAGCTTCCTTTTTGCTTTTCTTCTGTTTCTTATGTGACTTTTTTTTCTGCTTTTTTTTGTGCGATTTCTTTGATTTCTTGTGTTTGTGAGATTCGTGGGTAGATGATTTTACCTGGGGAGATCTTTTTTTCCCATTCGTAATATCTTGATGATCACTAATAATAAAAAAGAGAAACTGCTTTACTATAGAAAATAAGAAGTACATTTAAATATTCTGCATTCTAGATAGAAAGTTAGGGTTAACAGCTGAATTTTAAAACAGCTTTGACATAGGGTTACTATGAGACTTAATCACTCTCAGAGTTTTTGTTTCCTCATCTTTAAAATGAACATAAAGCCTGGCTGGTGAGCATCGACCCATGTACCTAGAGGTCGGTCACTGGTTCGATTCCCAGTCAGGGCACATGCCGAGGATGTGGGCCGAATCCCCAGTGGGGGATATGCAAGAGGCAGGCAGTCGATGTTCTCTCTCATCGATGTTTCTATCTTTTTCTCCCTCTCCCTTCCTCTCTCTAATATCAATAAAGAAAAAGGAAATTAAAAAAATTAAAATAAAATGAACATAATTATAATCTGTAAAACAACACTAAAACCACTAAATATCATTGGACTCAGAAAAAAAGAGTATATTGAGAAGATCTGCTCACCACTAGCATCAGTAACATTAGGCATTATCAAAAAAATTGTTTTTGCCAGTTTGATAGGTAGAAAGCTGTTTTAGCCTGGCCCTTGTGGCTCAGTGCATTGATCGTTGCCCCATGGACTGAGATTCCTGGTCAGGACACAGGCCTGGATTGTGGGCTTGATCCACAGTAGGGGGAATGCAGGAGGTAACCGATCGATGTTTCTATCTCTCTCTCCCTAAAAAATCAATAAAAACATATTATAAAAAATAGATAAAATTTTTATTTATTTTTTAAACCTTTTTTTCTTCTTTATTGATTTTTAGAGAGAGGAATGGAGAAGGAGAGAGAGATAAAAACATCAATGAGAGAGCACATGGACTGGCCCGCCTCCTGCATTCCCCCCACTGGGGATTTGGCCCACAACCTGGGCATGTGTCCTGACTGGGCTTGTGTGGCTCAGTGGTTGAGCATTGACCCATGCACCAAGAGGTCACCGGTTCAATTCCTGGTCAGGGCACATGCCCAGGGTTGCAGGCTTGATCTCCAGTAGGGAGCATGCAGGAGGCAGCAAACATGTTTCTCTCTCTTTTCCTTCCTCTCTCTCTCAAATGAATAAAAACATTTTTAAAAAGAGGAAAAAAAAAACTAAGTGCTATAGGTATGTCAAACATCAATCAGGGAAAAGCAAAATAACAATCAACTTCCATCTAAATTGCCTATTATTTCTCAGTCACATTTTTAATGTGACATGCTTTGTAAAAAGTAGGCACTCAATTTATAGTTCAGACTTTGTACTAAGCCTTGGTTCTAACTTTTTTCCCCCAGTAAGCCTATTTGTCTTACCTGTCTGTTTCAAATTCTTCAGGGTATAACTCTTTATAGCCACTGTGACCCCATCTGTAAGATGACATTTCATTACACATATTGTTAAAACAAGGCCTATGTTTTTGAAAATTAAATTACACAGACTTAGTAGTACATGCACAAAGACATACATACAGAACAAAGAAAACAGAGATATGGTAAAGCCAACCCTACATTATAGCTCAGTCACTTAGTTGGCTACATTTTTCTGTACTGCACACGAGTATTTCAAACACAAAGAATACCTTTATCCATTTGTAAGAGAACTTGCCATTCTCTTCCACAAGAAAACTCTTATAATCTGCTGTGAAGTACTTCTCCAAAAACACTTCATAACATAATGCTGTCTACATTGGTACAATTTTTAAAAAATAGCTTTATTGAAATATAACTCATATACTATAAAGTTATCCTCGTAAAGTAAGCAAGTCATACCCTGGCCAGTTTGGCTTAGTGGTAGAGCATCAGTCCTCAGACCGAAGGGTGTGGGGTTCGATTCCTGGTCAAGGACATGTACCTGGGTTGCAGGTTCAATCCCCAGCCCAGGGTAGGGTCGTGCGGGAGGCAACCAATTGCTGTATCTCTCACATCGATGTTTCTCTCTCTCTCTCACCATCCCTCCTTTCCACTCTATCTAGAAATCAATGAAAAAATATCCTTGGGTGAGGATTAAAAAAATAACAATAATAATAATGATAAGTATGCAAGTCAGTGGCTTTCAGTATATTCAGAGTTGTGCAACCATCACCACTATCTAACAGAACATTTTCATCACCCCAAAAAGAAATTCTGTTAGCAGTCACTCTCCATTCCTCCCTCTCCTGTAGCTCATGGCAACCACTAATCTACTTTCTGTCTGTATGAATTTGCCTATTCTGGACATATATATAAATATAATCATGTAATGTGGCCTTTAATGTCTGGCTTCTTCCCACTACAATAATGTTTTCAAGTTTCATCCATGCTGTGGCATGTTTTCAGTATTTTATTCCTTTTACTGCCAGACAACATTCGATTACCATTCCATATACCACATTTTGTTAGCTAATAGACGTTTGGGTTACACTTTTTTGGCCACAATGAATAATTATGCTGGTAACATTTGTGTACAATTTTTGCAGAGATAATTAAGTTTTGAAAGTACCATTCTCAGGCCAAATATCATTAATGGTTGCAAGAATTTAGTTACAAACCTGTCTGGCATGTTAGCTTCATAATCATATAACTTCTTGTTCCAGGATTTAGCCTTAAGAAAATCATCTTCCAGGGCTCCAGAAATTTCATTCCTTGGCCTCCAATTGTCTCTTTGACTTTCTTCATCAAAACCATCACTACGCATCCGACTATATGAGGAAACAGAAGAACTTTTAGATTTAGAAGCAATCTGTGAGGTTAATTTATGGAACAGCATGCATAAAACTCACTGAACAGCTAAGAGGGAGAACAAAACAACCTGATACTTAATTTTTTTAATCATGTAAAAAGACATATCTGGCCTGGCCAGTGTTGCTCAATGATTGAGCATCAGCCCATGCGCCAAAAGGTCGCTGGTTCAATTCCCAGTCAGAGCACATACCCAGGTTGTGGGCCTGATCCCCAGTGGGGGGCATGCAGGAGGCGGCCAGTTGATGTTCTCATCGATGTTTCTATCTCTCTCTCCCTCTCCCTTACTCTCTCTAAAATATAATAAAGAAAAAGTCTAGTGATTCAAGCAGATCTCCTTTAAAAAAAAAAAATAAAAAGATCTGTTCCTCTCTATAAGTTTGTCCAGGGAGAATCTGACCATTATTACCCACCATATTGCAGAATAAAAATGAGACAACTTCTGGACTGTGGCATACAGTAGCTCACTAATTCTCAACTAGGAGGGCATGCAAAGTGGGAAGCAGAGCATAATCACAGCTGAGAACATTTCAAACTACCCTAGATATTCTTAATACACTCCCTTCTTGGAAAACCAGCAACTTGCTGTAGGGAGGTCATAAAAACAGTAGGAACAAGGCCTAATCCATGAGTATGTTGGGGTAGAAAACCAGTTGAAGCCCGGCCAGTGTGGCTCAGTGGTTGATCGTTAACCCATGCACCAGGAGGTCGCTGGTTCGATTCCCGGTCAGGGAACATGACCAGGTTGTGGGCCCAATCCCCAGTGGGGGGCATGCAAGAGACAACCAATCGATGTCCTAATTGATGTTTCCATCTCTCTCTCCCTCTCCCTCTATCTCAAAAAAAAAAAAAAGAAGAAGAAAGAAAAATTTTTTAAAAAAAGAAAACCAGTTGAAAACAACTAATTCAGCCCATACTTACAATATCCACTAGCCAATCAATAAAGTTAGCTAATGGGTTATCAAAAATGTTTAAGGGTTTCTGTGTGCCAGATATTGTTCTAGCTACTGGGAATTTAATGCAAATGAGACCATCAGAATCCCTGTCCCTAAAGAGATTATGTTTAAAGATGTATTCCCATGACAGGCATTAATAGTCCACTCAAAAAGAACAGTATCTTTTTTTTTTTCATTCCTTACCCGAGGACATTTTTCCATTTTTTGTTCAGATGGGGGGGGGGGGGGACATCGATATGAAAGGTATACATCAAGTGGCTGCCACCCACACGACCCAAGCAGGGCCGGGGACAAACTGCAACCGAGATATATGCCCTTAGCGGGAACTGAACCCTGGTCTCTCTGGACCGCAGGCTGACGCTCTAACCGCTGAGCCAAACCAGCCAGGGCAAGAACAGTATCTTGTTCCTAGAAGTGCCACTGGGAATTGAACAACCAACACAAAATAAATCATTATCTGCACTAACAGTACTTCTAAATTCTCAAAGAACCATCAGAGAAAAAACAGATGGAAAATATATTTATCTTTATCTTGAAATTTTGCTTTCTTTACAATAAGTATCCTACGTACTTTCTTGTTTAAAGTCATTTACACAGAGCCAATCACACTTTAAAGTCTATATACTCTGCAGGCACACTTGCTCTCCTCATATATCTCACTATTTATATTTCCCTTAGTAGCTCTAGAAATCAGCATGCTTACTTTGAGTCATTTTTTTCATACACACAGCTGTACACTAATAGGCACATGAGCCCAATCGATGTACCTAATACTCAGACATTCCTATACCGCTACAGGTAAGACAACTAAGCCTGCATAATCCTTCATATGTACACTCAAATTAGTAAGAAGGTAATGTGAAAGGCTGTGTGATTGGGCGAAGATAGCGAGTAGATGGGGTAAAGAAAAGGCTGAGAAAAAAATACCGGAAAAAATAAAAGGAAAGAAAGAAAAGGCTGAGAGAAAGAATCAAAGACTAAAAGGGGAAAGGAATAAATGATCAGCTAAGTGACAGTAAGATACAGACAGAATATCTAAGGTTAAAAGCCATCAGATAAGGTCAGAATCCACAGAATCCTTAATGTTTACATTGTTCAGACTTTTAAAATTCTCTATTGCGAACAAGTACAAAGAGTGGGACCACATACATGATAGCCATTACCTTTATGCTTGGGTATAGGTTAATAAAACAGGGAAGGCATAAGGGCTCACAGAACTGAATTCATGTCTTTAGCATACCAAAATGTTTTTGTTTTGTTTTTTATCCTCACTCGAGGACATTTTTCCATTTTTTTGTTCAGACAGAGTGGGAGGGAGAGAGAGGGACAGACAGAGAGAGAGAAAGAAACATCTACGTGAAAGGGACACAGCAAGTGGCTGCTACCCGCATGACCAACCAGGGCCGGGGACAAACTGCAACCGAAGTACGCGCCACTAGTGGGAACCGAACCTGGGTCTTTCTGGACTGCAGGCTGATGCTCTAACAGCTGAGCCAAACTGGCCAGGGCCCAAAATGTTTTTAAACACAAGTTGATGATTCTGAATAAGATGAGAATTATTTTGGTTCTCAGAGCTCCAACCAACTTCACCTTGAACTGCTGGGTAACATTTTCCTTTTGTTTCCCCTGTAAGCATCTTCCATCTGTTTCTCCAATTCTCTTATTTTCCACATATCTGATTCCTCCTGAATCTAGACATTTTAAAGGAAATAAATTAAAGTAAGTTACTAAAAATGACACTTTACATCATAAAAAAGTAACTGAAAATACAATCTGTACTAACTATTGGATTTTAGACTGTGTTATGATCAAGAACCTGGGAAACTAATTCTAGTTTCTCAATGTGAATAAACAATCTGACGCAACAAATCCAATATGTAGAATTCTGCAGCAACAGAATTTTTTAACCCCTGCATAAACATTTATAACCTCATCAATTTTGCAATTATGCTGTAATTATTCTCTTATGTTTCTAAAATGCTTTATGATCGTAATTGTATCATCTCAATTGAACCTTAAGCAATCTTATGAAGAAAGCAAAGAAGATATCATCATTATATTTTACTGAGAAGTAACAAAAGCCCAGAGTTTGCCAAAGTCAAAAAGCTAATAATGACAGGTCTTTCAACTTTCCAAGCTAAGTCCCTTTTCACAACTTTCTAATTTTTATTGAAAACAATGCAAAACAAAATAAAAAGACGTGAGAATTGCTACAGAATTTCCAGAGAAGCAGATTACAACTGATATAAAAACAAGAATATGGCCCTGGCCGGTTTTGTTCAGTGGTTAGAGCGTCGGCCTGAGGTCCAGAGAGACTGGGTTCGGTTCCCATTAAGGACACATACCTCGGTTGCAGTTTGTCCCTGGCCCTGGTTGGGTCGTGCAGGTGGCAACTACTCGATGTGTCCCTTTCACATCAATGATTCTCTCTCTCTCTCTCTCCCTCCCACTCTATCTGAACAAAATATGGAAAAATGTCCTCAGGTGAGGATTAAAAAAAACAAGAATATGTTTTACTTCTAAGTCCTCCTATAATTTTTTGTTAAATCTGTGCTAGATTATTTTTTCAGCCTCCATTTTCAAATCTAAGCTCACCATTCAACTAGGGATGGTTTAATGCAATTATAGAGGCTGCTTATGTAACAGTGATTACCTCATTCAAATAAAATAATCAGGTGACATGACAGTAAGACCATTTAAGATCAAAGTAGGAGTTCTACAGTTCACCGAAGAAAACCAAACAAGGGTCCTTGGCCCTCTTTTAATTATATGTGCTCTCCTAAGTGACCTCATCTACTCTCAAGACCTCCACTATTTCCTATTTATCAGTAATCCCAAACCTTTATGTCTAGCCTCAACATTTCTCCTTGCCTTCAAGTCAGAATTTCCAACTGTTTAGATATCCTATAAGGACCTCTCCATCAACATGTTCAAACCAAACTAATTACATTTCCCATAATACTTGTCCCTTTTCTTTTGTTTCCTATCTCAACAAATGGCATCATCATCATTTACCCAGACACACAAGGTAGTTATATTTGATTCCATAATTATCACGATCATCTGATCAGTCACCAAGTTCTTCAGAGTCTGCCTCCTAAATTCCTCATCTTCATCCCTACTGTCAGTCACTGTTTTCATGTGAAGGCCCCTCGTCATCCCTTATGTGGAACACTGCAATTGCCTCATAATTGGTCTCTTTACTGTTTCACCCCATTTGATCTATCCCCTAAGATGTCATCTTACTAAAATACAAATACAAAAAACAATTGTTTTAAATACAAATACAATCAAGTCACACTCAGCCTAAAAATATTTGACGACTGCCTGGCCAGTGGTTAAGTGCTGAACCATGCACCAAGAGGTCGTAGGTTCAACTCCTGGTCAGGGCACATGCCCAGGTTATAGACCTGATCCTCAGTGAAGGGGGGGGCATGCAGGAGGCAGCCAATCGATGTTCTCTCTCATAGATGTTTCTATCTCTCTCTCCTTCTCCCTTCTTCTCTTTCTAAAATCAATAAAGAAAAAAAAAAGAACCAGTTCAAATATCAGCACCTCAAATACTACCCATTCTGTGAAGCCTTTCCTAATTCCCCAAGGCAGATATCATTATTCCTTCCTTAGTGCCCTAAAACATTTTATATGTCTCTATTACAGTAATTACCAGACAATATTGTAATTATACATTTCATTCATCTTTGTATCTCCTAACAGTAGCAAAATAATGCTTGCACACTTATACCCTCGTTAAGTGTTGAGGAATAACTAGGTTGTACCTCTCACCTTATTGTGAGCATCTGTGTGCCGGATGACATTCCTTAGAAGGACTTTCCCCAGTGGAACCCGGGACATTCTTCAATCTGAAATTAATCAATAAATAACATTTCAAAATAGTAATTTCCTTTATTACCTTACCTTTTATTATAATGTTACAAAGAAGCATGAGGTAAAGGAAAGAGCACTTGGATCTCAGAGGTCCTGAGTAATAGTTGTTTCTTCACCATTAAAAGGAAAAAATACATAACCATCAAAATGTGAGGGAGAAAGGAGACAGTGTACAGTGTAATTCTTTGAAAAGACACTATTTACTGTTCAAAATAACTGTTTTACATGAGGCAAGTCTCTTCATTCCTAATTAGTAGATAAAATTCCCTTAAAGCCATAACTTGTCTCAGGCCACACAGTCCAAGGCAAACAAGGTCCAGATCAGAAATCAACTCTCCAACCCCAGTTAGTCTGCAATGAAGCAAATACCTCGATTTGGATGTGTCAGGGGCCACAAACGTCTACAGTAACCAAAACTGATGCCTGAAAGCATCAAAAACAGAGATACCCTAAATGTCTCCATTCAGGGTATTTTATTTTCTATTTTGTATAAAAGCCTCAAAAAAAAAACCCCAGATGGCAGGGCTATTCCCATGTGCAGCTAGCAGGGCTCTGTGCCACCACCCCACCGCTCACTCACCCCTCGATCCTGAGGAAATCAGGCATCTTGTTAGTGTGAGACGAAGAACCACTCCATTACAAGCTCTCCTCCGACCCAGGAAGCCGAGGAGTCAGTGCTCAAAGGCAGCTCTGCAGCTTCACCCGAGTCCTTCGTGAAAACGCAGCCTGCCCACCGGTTATTCCGCCCGCACCCGCGCCCCAGGCCACGGCCGCCTCCCCTCGGCCCGGACCCGCCGGCGGAGACCCGTGCGCACGGAGGCCGGGGGCGGCGCCGGCCAGGACGCCGGACGCCCGGGTGGGCTGGGCATTCCCCGCTCACGCTCTCGGGTGGGCCCGGGGACTGGGTTTCGCTCCCAGCGGGACGCTTTGGAGCGGTACGGCCGTCCGCTGGGCCCGGAGGAGTATCTAAAGTGCCTGAAAGGGGGGCTGAGGCTTCCAGGCGGAAGACAGAGAAAATACCCCCATCTCTGTCACCGGGACCCCTGCCCCCAGCGGCCGAGAAGCTCCCGGTAACCTTCCCTCCAAACGCCCTCCCCACACAAATTCACACAAACACACCCATACCGTGCACCGCAGCCTCGCGTGGCGGGGGTGGGGGAGGAAGCGGGCTGGGAGAAAAGACAGCAAGCTTCCCTTTCAGGCCGGAAGTCGTGCTGCTGAGAAATTCTTCCCACCAACAGGAAACTCGGAGACTTCGCAGGGAGCGTTTCCAGGAGCCGCAGGAGCTCGGCAGCAGCAGACGGGAGCGGGCGCCCTCGTGGCAGAGACGTGGGTCGGGCTCAGCCGAGAAGCGCGGCCCGCGGCTGGGGCGCAGGTTCTGTAACTGGACGCGAAAAGAGCGGCGGCCCGAGCCTTCCGGACCCCATTAGAGGGTGGACCAGTCTGGTTACCCTGGTAACAAGCGTCGCGGCTTGTCAAGAAACCGAGGGAAGAGGTGGGTTCGCAGACCTCTGGAATGCTTGTCCATTAGTCACGTTTCCCCTTTAGTCTAACCCTAACATAGTGTTGAAAGAACCCAAACCCCCCCTTTCCTCATTCTGTGGATGCTCTGGGCACCTTCCAGTAGGGGGTCGGTGCGAGGGAAGTTTCTCAGCGTTACTATTCTCGTGTTATGTTGACCAAGGGTTCCAACCTTTCTGCGTTAGCTTGATCCTCACAATAACCCTATGAGATAGATATTGTCTTCACTTTGAGGAGAGTAAACTGAGGCACATATATAAATTAATTATCAAGGTCACAAAGCCAGCACTGATAGAGCTAAGATTGGAATCTAGGCATTCTGGCCCCTGAGCTCATGCTTTAAAAAAAAAAGTTTTTATTGATTTCAGAGAGAGAAGGCAGAGGGGGAGAGAGAAATATCTACTGGCTGCCTCCTGCATGTGCCCTGACTGGGAATTGAACCTGTGACCTTTTGGTGCATGGGACAATGCTCAACCAACCGTGAGCCACACCAGCCAGGGAAGGTCCATGGTTCCAACTACTAAGCTATGCTGATGTTAGGGAAGTCTCATGTGAAGTCTCATCACATACACACACCCCTCTGGCAATTTCCAGACTGGATAGGGTAGTCAGCCAAAACCCAGGTGCTGAAAAAAGGAAACCATGGGGAAATCCAGACTAAAGTGGGTACTCTGTCCCCTCAGGGCTTGTGAGGGTCTAGGCAGAGGTAAGGCCTTATTATATGAGAGGACAACTTGAGAATTTAGAAAGTGGTACTAGATAATTCGAGAATAAGGAAAAGATAAAGTGGAGCTGATCCACAATGTTTTAGACATGGGTGTTAAGGATAACTTCTAATTGCACCAAAACAATTCCTGACCTGTTCCTCCTCCCCTGAAAGAAGAAATGAATCAATAGTTACACAGGGTGTTTTTTCCTTAAGTCATGTCTTTCCACAGACTTAAGAGGCCTATTCACCTCAATCATGGAATCATCCTCAAAGGGTCTGCTTACCCAAGTTACTCAGTTCTGGAACCTACTGGATGATCTGGCTGAAAGTAATCCTGAGGGCTATGAGAAGTTCATTCAACAGCAGCTGAAAGAGGGCAAACAGCTCTGTGCTGCCCCACAACCACAACTCTGTCTACAAACAAGAATCCTGGTATGTAGAGTTGGTACCCAGGGATGAGGAGGTCCTGAATGAAATGATCCTGCAATAACCAGAGAATAGCTTACCCTTAGCCATTGTAACGTTAACACAAGAAAACTTGAAGGAAACTGCCACTCTAAATGAAAAATAAAATATAGTGTGGAAGACTGCACTGAAGGAGTAAAAGTGGGAAATTCATATTTGATGTATTTTGAAGATCTCAAAATGAGCCATTTTTCCTGCTAGAATGAAAGTAAAAAGCAATGTAATGATTTAACAGAGAATTATAGAGTTGGAGATTTTTCAAATAAAGAGAGTTTATTTTGTTGGTGAGGTAAGGAAGTGGTGAACAAATTCACCTGGAATAGCTAGCTGCTTTGATCAGTTCCCCTTCCTCCTCCCAGTTACTCTGAGAGTAGCAACTGGATTCTTGATGAAGGGCTGTTGGGAAATCAGGTAACAGTATACTTTTCAAACACAGTTTCAATACATGTAATAACTTACTTGGACCCTAAAATTCTCACTCTTCAAATTCTGTGATGTGTTTCTTTTGGACTATTATTTAATTAAAAAAAAAAAAACTAGCCCGGCCAGTGTGGCTCAGTGGATTGAGCATCCTCCCATGGACTGAGATCCTGGTTCACTTCCAGGTCAGGGCACATGCCCAGGTTGCAGGCTCAATCCCCAGTAGGAGGCATGCAGCAGGCAGCTGATTGATGTTTCTCTCTCCCTTCCTCTCTCTAAAACATCAATAAATTTTTTTTAATTTAAAAATATAGGTTTTAAGCTATGTAAAATTATTTGATTTCTAGAAACCTAAAGAAAAAATACTTTTTATCAACTTATGTCAGTGGAAAAGGATTCCAGCTCCCCAATCATCCACTCATCCAGTACCTCTAAGTGTTGGCAGACCAGAAGATATGTCTGAAACATCAGGTATGTAGAATTATAGGAGAGCAAGCACATTAAAAAAATTTTATTGGGAATAGCATGAACCCAGATTTCACTTGGTAAAAAACATTACATGTAAAATATTTTATTTGGTTATAATGTAGCTAATGACTAATAAATGTACCTTTATGCAAATTGAATACTGTTTGTCTAATAATATAAGCTGTTTTTAACCCATATAAAATGCCAAAAAAATGCCTTCATTGAAATTTTGTGTATATAGCATCATTATCATTTCCTCTGAAAAATACAGAATTTATATTTTCTAGCTTTATCAGGTTTATGGCTTAATTTATTACCTGACAATATCGTTAGTGAAACAAGTTGTCTTCATTTCACAACTTCTGAATCTCAGGCACAGATGTTTGTTTTTTTTCCTCTTTCTCTTCTCTCTTTTTTTTTTTTAACACATGCAGACGTTTACACAGTGATCGATGTTGCCTACAATCCTGATGTTCTCCAGGCAGCAGAAAAAGACCATGTGAAAAAAGATCAATTAATACAGATAGCCATGAAATGCATTGAGGAACAACTCCAGATCACTCTCTCACAATTTTACCATATTACCACATTTAAAATAAAAGGAAACATTCAAAGAATGAAAAAAAATCTGATGGGAATCCAATCTGATCCCACAGATTTAAGAGAGAAAATAAGAAAGGGTAAGTTAATTAATGTAAATGGAAAATTAAACTGATTTAAAATTTTTGCAAACTAGAAATCTCAATTTTAACTTAAAATGGGAAAAGATCAAGATTAGATATTAGAAATATTAGTATGTCCTTCAAGATTTTTAAATCCTGCAAACTTTTAATTTTTTAAATCTTTTTGGTTTAAGATTCTTTTGAGATTCCCAAACTCATTTAGCTGCAGCTTTATCTGCCATCTTAGCTAATACTACATATTGCAGCTCATAGCCTGATAGTTTATGTTGTTGATTAATTTTGTTATTGTATTCCCTCCCCTTTTTTCATAAAGAACTAACCCTTGAACAGATAAAAAGCAGTACTGTGAGCAATCCAGATCATTTCCCTCAACTTTTACTGCCAAAAGACCAAGTTTCGAGTGAAAAAGGGTGCCTGATAGAAGAGATATCCAGTACAGAGATCCAGGTGGAGATGAAGAAACCAGCCTATGAATTAAAAATGGTGGCGGATCAGAATGAGAAACCCCTGAAAATTGAATTAAAAGTTGAATTACCTGGTATTAATTCAGTATCTCTCTGTGACCTTCATGTTTCTGAGGTAGGTTGAAAGGTAATACTGTAAACTTTTATCAGTCAACATTCGCTATATTATGCTATAGTAACCAACTCTACAAGCTCAGTGGTTTATAATCATTTACTCAGGTTACAAGTCAGCTAAGCCTGCTTTGCTCGACAAATCTTACACATTACAAAATATAGGTGAAGAAGCAATTCCCATCTGACATATTCCATTCTCCTGGCAGAAGGAAAATAGAAATGGCCAAACTATGCAGTGGATACTAAAACTTCCTGTTAGACAAGACGTATCTCTTTACTCACATTCTGTTCACCAAAGTAAGTTACTAGGCCAAGTCCTACATCAATAGGGCAGGGAAGAATATTCTTCTCAAGAGCAATCACAGGAAGTCACATGACAGGGGTATACATATAATCCTCTTACAGAAGATCAAATAATTGGCAAAAACACTACAGTCTACCACAGTCCATTCTCTTGCTCACAAATATTTGCATCTTTCCCCAAGAAAGACACCTCCAATTCCAGTATCAGACTCTAATGTACAGGATTTTTTCATCATAGTCTGCATTCTCTCCTCTTGAACCAGACCTATGAACTGCAAGCACAAGTTATCTAATCCCAGAGGCCCATCACCATATAGTGTGTAATGAAGGGAAGATCACTATTAACAGTCTCAATTTAGAAATGGTAAAAATATGAGGCACACGGCAGTTGCTGAAATCCTGGTAGACAGATATTTGGAGGATCCCCTTTCCTGATGTAGAGGATGTTCTCACTTAAGGCCATGACAGATTCCTTCTTTACCTATCCCCACCCCAGTTCCATTGTCTTCCGTTACCATCAGTTCCATTCTTTGGGACCCCCCCCACTCCACCCTTGCATGATTTACCTTAACCACATCTAAAGAGAGCATTTTGGAGACTATGCCATCTTTAGATGCTGAACAATTTACTCAGCCTGTTTTGTGCCCATGGAATGTTTGGGGTCCAAAGATTTTTTAAAATTAGTTTTAGTCTAGAATGGTAACATTTTATTTAATTCCAATCAGTGCTATACCCAACAATTCTTTTTAGACATGTCCAGTTTTTTCCAATGGCTTCTCTTTTTTCATTTCATAGCTGTCACTTGAGCCAAATGTAAGGATTTACTGAGGTCTACTTTAACCCAGGTAGAAATTTTAACAAGAGTATACATACAGACTTGTGATTTAGTCTTTGCCTCCAGGCTGTCTTAACCAGCCTTTGTTGATTAAAAATAATAATCATCTCGATTTTACCCTTTACTGGTTAAAAAAATTGCATCTTCGTCAAGTCTTAGACTTTCTGAGGTCTGTATTTTCCCTTTTAGCTCTGCTTGCAAACTGGTAAATTCGTCTCAGTTCTTTTTGTTGTACTTTGTTAAATGTAGCCCCATTAAACTAATGCATGTTACCAACATTTTATTTTCCCACTTCTTTACCTAAAGCCACAAATTAACTAGGTATATAATTTGTCTTCCAAATTATTGTTAATAGTTTTATTAAGGGCTGTATCACTATAAAACATGGATCACCACCTTTCCAGTCTCCAATGTTTCCTTGCTGTTTGCTAGTCCTCCCCAAAGTCAATTAAAATAATTTGGGACAACACCCATCTTTTGGTACTGCTACCAGTTAGCTTTTGATGTATTAAGCAGCAATAATAAATCTTAAAAGCTCAGGGATTTACGACAGCAGTTATTGCTCATTGCAAGTTACATGGCAATAAATTGGGATCCTCTTCTAATGGAAAAGGAGTAGATAACTGGGAACAGGAATCCAATAACACTAATTTTAACCAGAAATACTTTTCTATTTTTCTCTTGTAAAATCTCTCTTGGTTTATTCTTCTTAGGATGATTTATTAATTGAGGTCTCTGAGAAGTACAGATTACATCTGAATCTTCCAGAATCTGTGGATACTGAAACGACTACAGCAAAATTTATCAAAGAGAAAGCTACATTGATCGTCACAATGCCATTGGTGTAAGTCAAGAGCAGTATGTTTCCGGTTTTCAGTGCTAGTTATGTGAATTATAGGACCTTCATTTTAGGTGAAGAGATATTGGTGTATCTTAAACACTAGTTTCATATTTTCTAAGAGTTCCTTTTGATGGAATTAGACTTATTCAATTGTTCTTTTTAAAAAAACTCCTGCCCTGTCCAGTTTGGCTCAGTGGTAGACCATCAGCCCACAAACCAATGAGTCACAAGTTTGATTCCAGCCAAGGGCACATACCTCCATTTCAGTTCATCCCCGGCCCTGGCCGGGGTTGTGTGGGAGGCAACCAATAGATGTGTCCCTCTCACATCAATGTTTTCTCTCTCTTTCTCTCTCTCCCTCTCTCCCTCCCATTCTGTTGAAATAGAAAACAATATCCTCGGGTGAGGATTAAAAACAACCAAAAAACTCACTTTCTCCTCTCAAATAAATGTGGTATCAAGTAAAAACTACTAAAAATAGTATGACTATGATATACTTCTTTGGAAGATATATGTAATGGTCTCAAGTAACTTAAATACCATTTGGGAAATTTCTATTTGTTTCCAAGTAACATGTGAGAATTCTGGCTGAAAAAACTTTTGTCTCTAGTAAATTTTTGCATCAGAAATAAATCCCAGACTGTGCAAGAAGTTTTTTTTATTATCAAGAGGGGCCACAGCAGTAAGTTTCCTCCAGCAGTAAAGATACAAGGCCAGTGTAAGAATATGCAAACTTATGCTTCTGTGAACCTCTGTACTTCTATAAAAAAGCTCTGGCAGGAGTCCACGCTACCCAGGCAGGCCTTTTAACATCAGATACGGACTTTTCTGTGGATTGGACACAATGATGCAGTAACAGTGACTAGATGTTATTGCACATAAGATGCAAAATACATCCAACTCTATTTTAAGAAAAAGGAGTTGACTTTGGGACAAGTGTCTTTCTCCTAAGAAAATAACTTTTAAAAATACAGAGGTGAGCCCTGGCAGGTTTGGCTCAGTGGTTAGAGCGTCAGCCCGTGGACCAGAGAGTCCTGGGTTCGGTTTCCGCTAACAGCACGTACCCTGGTTGCAGTTTGTCCCTGGCCCTGGTTGGGGTCGTGTGGGTGGCAACCATTCGATATGTCTCTCTCACATTGATGTTTCTCTCTCTCTCTTCCTCTCTCCTTCCTGGTCTATCTGAAGATAATTGCAAAAATGTCCTCGGGTGAGGATAAAAAAAAAAAATACAGAGGTGATATATACTTTTCAACTTCTATTCATCTAAGTTGTCTGATACTTGTTTAACACAAAGGCATGAACTTTCCAATTTATATACCAAATGCAATGCTCACATCAAACTATAAACAGCTCTTAATATCTTTTCTAGATACAAAACAAATTCCTTCTGATTATTTCCTAGTTCAACACAAAGTCTTTAAAGTCCTTATTAATTTTGAAACTTTTTAACTTTAGAAACTGTTATATGTGTAATAGAAATAGTTGACATGTAACATAAATACATAATTTTCTTAAAAGCTGGCCTGAATTTGAATCCTTCTAGCAATAGGATAATTTATCATCTGAAAACGTTCTAGAATTGTATGATGTCCTAAAATTAACAAATCTATTATATTCTCATCCCTGAAAAAACTTGGAGTGCTTTCATCTTTTCTTCTGCAAAATCACTATCAAAACTTATTTCCTAGAAACTCCTGTAAATAACCACATAGAACTGGTTGAATCTCTACTCTTGTACTCTTGGCACATACTTATGTCAGCAGCTATGTATTAATAAATACTCATTAATAAAATGCATATCACGATCTAACACACTTAATGTTTAAATGTTAAATCAACAGCCTGGTGGCCTGGTCACGGTGGCTCAGTGGTTGAGCATCGACCCATGCACTAAGAGGTCACTGCTTTGATTCCTAGTCAGGGCACATGCCCAGGGTTGTGGGCCCGATCCTCAGTGGAGGGTATGCAGGAGGCGACCAATCAATGTTCTCTCTCGTTGATGTTTCTCTCTCTTCCTCTCTCTAAAATCAATTTAAAAATTTAAAAAAAAAAAAATTTTTTTTTTTAAAGCATAACTTTTCCCAGGAAAAGCACTGACTAATAATAAACTATGGAGTTTAAATTAGAATCTTATCAAGATCTTTTTTCCTTAAAGCTGGAAATTATTTGAGATGGACATTAATTGTCCTTGATTTAGAGACCAGCTTCTTCTATAAACTTGGTTTTAGATCAAGTATCAGTAATGATTATTTCCCATGTTTTCCAGGCCTTCTGCATTACTAGGTGATGAGTATTCCTTGCAACAGTTATCATGTCAACCCCTCTTGTAGACCATGCCCTGAGATACCATCACTACATTCACAAACCTCAGGATTCGAGTAAAATATCTAACAGCCAGACCACACTTTCATCTTGCTATGTGCCACATCCCAGCATGAAGTCTTCAGTAACTCCTTGATCTTCAAGTATTAGATTATATCCTTTTGAACTCAGTCCTGATTTAATCAATTCTATAAAATAAAAATGTATCTATATTAAGAGCTTATACATACATAGCTGTCCCTGCACTTAATCATTTAAAGTGAAAATTACCCACAGGTCAAAAATTAGGCCAGACACATTGAAAACATAACTTCACTTTTAAACAATCTAATTTGAACCAAACCACTATTTCTAACTTTTACTCTTTCAAGTTTGGTAAGGTAAATAGACTGAATCCAGATTTACATTACAGACCAAATTAATTTTTAATTCAGAACAATTTTTATTAGAAGGCAACTATTTATTTTTCTTTCAAAGGAACAAAAGAACCATAAACATTAGCAAAGAATGAATTATCTCTGAAGTTTCATGTGTTTGAACCAGATGTGGCTCATACTGATGATGGTCCCCCTGTGATAAGCTTGTTCCTTCTGCATAACCTTCACTTCAAGCTATAATTACCAATTACCGTATTGATGTTTTCATAATAGTACAAGGGAAACATCTGTGGAATATATGGAGTGTCACGTGTGCACCATGCAATAATGAACATTTAGAAATAGATTCAACAATGAAAGACCTAAATTTCAGGGGATAGCTCCACATATTACATACTAGTCAGATTAATTTTAAATAATCAAATAATTTCAAATATTTATTAAAGCACACTAATTCAATAGAAAGTCTAGAATTGTGATTGGATCTTATCTGCCCCATTCCCCTAGCCTGGCAGAAGAAAAGCAAATGGAGAAAAAATATTTAGGTTGACAAGGTAGTACGCAACCTAAATAATTTTTTTCTCTCCAATAGGATTTTAGGGCTATTTTATTTTACATGAGTCAACACGGGTGGGTAAACAAAGGACAATTTTTTTTATGCACATGTAACAGTTTTTACTTTATCCAAATAGAAATGACAGTTTTGTTTTGGTCATCACCTTTTAACATTCTAACCTGTACGCCAGTATATCTCTCCCCACGTCTGTTCAGAAAGAACTTGTTGATATAAATATGGACTTTGGCACATCTTGTTAGAAACCATATTTTACATATGTACACTTACTCAACTGTTACTCTGTATAGTTTTCCAAAGTTATTTGAGTAGTAAATTCTGGTAATTAAGTTCATCGTAAATAACCACTAGTTGATATTGGAGAAATAATTCTTTCACAACTTCTCTGGTAAATTCTATAAGTATAGTCATTTATTTGGAGGTAATTGTAGAATTCTGCTCAGAATTATACATTTAAGTTGTTTAAATATCCACACAAATTCTCGTTTATGCCAAGTAGCTAGTTTATATTTCTAACTCATCTCACGAAGGGAAAACAATCATTTTGGGATTCATAGAAAATAAACAAAGTACAGTGGTTAAAGAAATCTAAGAAAATGTTGATTTTTAAATTTTCAATTGTTTTCCTTGAAGTTCCTCTACTCTTCCCATCCATGCTAAAACCAAGATCATATAACAGAAAAATTTTAATTAGGGTTAAATCCAAAAATCAAGCTTTGATTCAAACCTTTTCTCCAAGAGAACAAATTTTCCTGACTCTCTTTTCCTCAAATATAAGGGAAACATTTGAGGCTATTAAATTTCAAAATCTCAAGGTTTTATCCAGATTATTTTTATACACCTTACTCAATAGGGAATCAATTCTACCTTTACATTTCTGAGTGGAAGTACTTATCACCAAAGGGCTATGCCACATGTCCCTTGACTAGGAGTACACAGCTAAAATCTGACATTTACTAAATGTGCACAATATTTGGGTATAACTGGTATTTAAAAAATTCAGCAATGACCATTACAAATAACTTAACCAGACAGACTAAAAAAATAACTGGTTAGCTTTAAAATAAAGAGAAACGCCTGTTTAATAACATATTTATATCTTGGTAAGAATGAACCAGTGTCATCTAGGAGAGTCTAGAAATTCTTGGGTTCATTATAACAACATGGTGATAGGCTTTTCAATGTACTTTCTAAACTCAGCAAGCCACTGGGCTCCAACCGCTCCATCCACAACCCGATGGTCACAACTGAGAGTAACAGACATCATGCTAGCCACATCAAACCTAGAAGAAGATAAAAACATTATTAGGTATTCTAAAAGCAATCACTAGATTGTAGCCAGCCCAAATGCCAAGTCCCACCGTATAATCCCAACCAGGTAACATTATTTTCTACCTATTCTTCATGTCCAGCCCAAATTTGGTCTGAAGAAACAGACCAGACAGAAGCACGGATCAGCAAACTAAAAGCCCACAGGCCAAACCCCACCCAGTGAAGGTTTCCTGGAATTGTTTACACAGTGCCCCTGGCTGCTGGCACACTACAGTGGCAGTGTTTGCAACTGAGACCATATGACCCACAAAGCCTAATATATTTACTATCTGCCTTTTTAAGGAAAAAGCATGGTGACCCCTTACTTAAGAGTAAATAAGGCTTCCCATCTCAAAGGTTAACTGCATTTAGTATAAGTGTTGCTGCCCTCCGAAACTTCATTCTATATTTAAGTCTAACTCTACTTAAAGTCCCAACATGCCATGCTAGTAATTCTGACACAGAGACTCAAAAACAGATATAAT